ATATTGCTTTGAGTCAACGTTCGGAGCATGTGTGAACACCGAAGTCCCTGACTTTAAAATAGCGCTTTCTTCTCTCCCTTTCTGCCTCCCAAACGCCCCGCAGATAGCTCAGGTTCCTCCACGTACCGCCCCCCCCCACGGACGAAAGAGGTCGTCATCAACAACCAGGTGGTGAAGCTCAAGTACTGCTTCACCTGCAAAATGTTCAGGCCTCCCAGGACGTCTCACTGCAGCATGTGTGACAACTGCGTGGGTAAGGGCTCCGTGTTTCTGCTGCGCTCATGAGAGCTCTGATGAGCGGCAGGGAGGGAATGAAACTCCTAACCAAAGCCTTGCAGCCCAATATACACCTCAAATCTGGAATAAGACATGGGTCGTACAGCAGTATCCTGATGATATATTGGCCTAAGTCTGGTTGTGGCTCCATTATGCTTGTTATAACAACAGCTGTTCCCTGTAGGATCCATTTATTAATGTTATTCTGCACAACTATCGTATTACCATGAGCAGCCTGCACACACAGGTAGTAAATGCGATGCAATAGTAGGTTTGCTTTGTACATCATGCAAATCTTAACGGAGATGCTCATGCTGTCGGCTGATATCTGTACAGAGAGCTCGGAGGTGTTGCATGAGACAGTGAGTTCCTCTGGGCGAGTGCTTACAACCCTAGCTCTAGCTCAGGCGTCTAACAGCAACCCCCCAGCAGTCATGTTCAGCTGTCGTTCTGGTTCCTTCCTGCAGAGAGGTTCGACCATCACTGCCCGTGGGTGGGCAACTGCGTGGGGAAACGAAACTACAGGTTCTTCTACACCTTCATTGTCTCGCTGTCCTTCCTCACCGCCTTCATCTTCGGCTGCGTGATAACGCACCTCACACTGCGTATGTATCTCCTGGCCGCTGCGGTGTGCACACTCACACTCTGACGGTCACACTCGGTGTGAGACAGTGACTATGAGTGTGACTGTGAGGGTGACTGAGTCACACTCTGAGTCTTAACTGACTCCCACAGTCACTCTCTTACACCCTTGTGCACACTGACTGTCACACACACTCTCTCTTACTGCAGGGATGGGCAGGGGGAGCAGGTGAGGTATCTGAAGGGGGAACACTGTGAGCTGTGTCAAGGAGAAAAGAAAACCGTGAACACCAGTGTACCAGAAGGACCGAACTAACACAAAGAAGGATACTCTGTCGTGACAAAAGACCAGTTGTAAATATGACAGAGAATTTGCCCCTGTTCCATCCCCAAACTAGGCTTTTTAGGACTCCTTGTCAAGCTTTTGGTTTTGATTCTCATATTTCATTTGTTTACAAATATCTAGATATTGACAGTCTGGATTTGAGATGTCAAAATGTATTTTGCGGAGTTGAATGGGAAAGTAAGGAGCTATCTGTCCCAAAGTTTTACAACATCGGTAATTTGCTGTTCTCTCTCCAGTCTTATTTTTGCAATTATTGTTTTTTGGGGGAAAAAAAGCCATCTGTTGACAGAGTGAGGCGTGTCTTTTACTGTAACGCCTATTCCATATTGATTTCTGCTACCTCCCCAAAGCTTTTCCTACTGCTTTGTAGTCTCCCAAAGTTTGACTCAGTACTAAGGTAAATAGTACCTCTGGTGTTCCTGCCCCCCCTGCTGTTGTAGTTCCAGCAGACCCCCATGAAGTGCTGATGCTGCTGCATGCTAAAGAGATTAAGAACAGCTGAAGACTCAGCCGGCCTGTGCAAATCCAGCGAGAGTTCCTGGAGCTGTTGTGTCTGTGGACAGTGCGCTTTTCTGTTGTGCGCTGTTGGAAACATGGGCAAATCCCGTCTTCAAAATCCATTGGAGAAAGGCTGACCTCCTTCCCTTTTTTCTGTAATGAAGGGCTGCTAAAATAGAGGGTTTTGATGTGCTGTTAAACATGCAGGGTAAACCCATTCTTGTAGGAGAAAGAAAATGCTCGCTCTTTATCAGCACTTACTCCGAGCACTGACAGTCTCCTAGGAAATTAAAGTGGTGCCTTGTCAAGTTTTTAATCTTCTGGCCTCTAGCTGTTGAGACTTATCTTATTTGTCTGCAGTGAAATAATGAGCAGTGATTCTCCACTGAGCGTTGAGCAGGGTATTTTCATCACATCCACATAGCGTTCTTTAAAC